GAAACTTTATGGAGGCTCTGATAATACCATGGCTCTGAAGCAACATTTTGGAAAGAAACTTTTGGAACTTGAAGAGGAGAAAAGAGCGGTGCAGGTAATAAAAAGCAATGAAAATACTATCACACATTGTCATCTGAGCTTGTCAAACTGATGTTCCCTGTTTTGAACTGAACTTTTGATGCAGCTAGAGAGAGATAGATTATTAGCTGAGGTTGAAAACCTTGCCAATAATGATGGACAAGCAATAAAATTGCAAGATACACATTCCCAGAAACTAAAGTCCCTTGAAGCACAGGTCTGCCCAATTGTACCATGTTTATTGTATAGACATGAGTGTCATGGTTAACTCTAATATCTATAACATGTTGCTGACAGATACAAGATCTTAAGAAAAAACAAGAGAACCAGGTTCAGCTTTTAAAGCAAAAACAGAAGAGTGATGACGCAGCAAAGCGCTTGCAAGATGAGATACAATCAATCAAGGCACAGAAGGTTGGTTCCCATTTCTTCTTTGATTAACATCATTTGCACCACTTATATGCAACTTATATTCTTCCCTTTTATAGGTACAGTTGCAGCATAAAATTAAACAAGAGGCTGAACAATTTCGTCAGTGGAAGGCATCACGGGAGAAAGAGTTACTGCAGGTAGTTTCCTGCGATTACTTTTTTCACCAACCATTCTTCATCTTGTAGTATGGTGGATAGCCATTATCTGAAAGGGATGACGTTCCTGCTATTTCAGTGATACACATGTTTTCATAACAGTCTTCTCTTTATGCACAGTACTGATGAGGCAAATGCAACTCAGTCTGACCGAAATTCTACTTCATGTTGTTTACCAACAATAATTTCTTTGGAATGCAGTTAAAGAAGGAAGGAAGAAGGAATGAGTATGAGAGACATAAATTGCTAGCTTTAAATCAACGACAAAAGATGGTGAGCATTTTACGTTCCTCTATGTCCTTGCATTGTCTTTCATTCTTCTCCAACTGTTTTAGTGAAGAGAAACTTGATGTACATTCTAGTTGTGACACCCGAAAAATCAATCTGTTTTTTAAGTGCTACAATTCTACTTCATGGAATGGATATGTGTAATTGGGCATTTGATTCGATCCTCGAAGAAAAATTCGGCCACTTGAACATCTATTTGTACCAGAGTAGAAGACAGCCTGTTTCTATTTTTTTTTTTTACTTTGATCACAAGTTCAGAAAAGAACTTGTATTTCTTGAAGACCTAGCTCAATCAAAATGCAGCGTGTATTAGAGAGGAAACAGTACACCTCCTGCCCAATTGTAGCTATTATACTTTTGATAGCTTTTGTTAAATGGGTAACATAAATTGATGGCTTACTAGAATAACGTGTACAAGAGTCAAGTTCGTGCAAGTAGGTGATCACAGTCAATATCTGAATGTTATATGGCATCATGGATTTATTTCAGGTTCTTCAAAGAAAGACAGAGGAGGCTGCAATGGCAACCAAGAGACTAAAAGAATTGCTAGAAGCGCGTAAATCTTCAGGTCGCGAGAACTCAGGTTTGCACTATATTTACCTTTTATCTGATGCCTTATTTGTGGATTACTGGTGCAATTCTGATTTAAAAATGCCTTATTTTTGCATTTTAACTTGTTAAACTTACTAATGTTCTGTTTATCATGCAGTTACTAGCAATGGCCATGTAGCAAATGGACAGGTACCAATCTTGCTCTCTTTTGGACTCTAATGGACTTTGTTTCTGTACCTATTTGATCAAATAATTTAGTCAAGAATCTTTTGCATTCAGAGCAATGAGAAATCGTTGCAACGTTGGCTTGATCATGAGCTTGAAGTGATGGTGAATGTTCATGAAGTTCGTCATGAGTATGAGAAGCAAAGTCAAGTGTATGTAACAAAATTTATTTTACCTAAATTAATCTTCTCTTAATGTGTGCGCACACAACATATTCTGGGTTGCATCTTTAAAATGGTTTCTTTTCATCTCAGACGAGCTGCACTTGGTGAAGAGCTAGCAGTTTTGAAACAAGTTGATGAATTTGCTTCAAAAGGACTGAGTCCTCCAAGGGGTAAAAATGGTTTCTCTAGGTACATATACTGAATGCATCTCTGTTCTATCTGCCAATAATGGATTCAGTATCTCCAAAATGCAGTCTAAGTAGCATTAAAAGAATACATTAAAGTGCTAAAGAAAGTTCAATCTAATGGATTTCTATTTGTGGTTATCTGTTCAGGGCATCTTCAATGTCGCCAAATGCTAGAATGGCACGAATTGCTTCTCTAGAGAATATGTTAGGCATTTCATCCAATTCTCTAGTTGCAATGGCTTCACAACTTTCAGAAGCAGAAGAACGAGAGCGTGCCTTTAGCAATCGTGGGCGTTGGAACCAACTACGCTCGATGGGGGATGCAAAAAGTTTACTCCAATATATGTTCAATTCTCTTGCAGATACAAGGTATTCTACTGATATGTTTTGTATCTTGTAATATGAAGTTTGGTCCGAAACTTCATAAGTAAAGATGGCTAGAATTTGTATGCTCATTCTTCTAGTGCGACTAAAATTATCTTAAACACTAGCTGGAGAGAGATCGTTTGAGCTTAGCAGTGGATTAGGTGTGTACTGCTTGGGTCCAATAGTGAGAGTTAGCCAAAAGATTTTTCGATCTCGGTGAGTTGGGGACATCAAATGGTAATGGAAGTGGGGACATCCCTATGTCCACACAGATGTAAACTTTCACATCATCCCAGTCAAAAAAACAAAATGGAGGACAGAAGATTTTCTTAAGAACAAGTGTCTAAGATACTCCAGTTTACAACTACCTCATGTGGTACTTGCGATAACGGTTTCCACCTCACAGTTCATAAGAATTCTTGAAGGTTTCTGACATGATGTCTAGCTATTAACTATGAGGAAAATTTGTAGATGCAAAATCTTTAGTTCTGTTTTGTGGCAGTCTTTGGGGTTTTCTTTGCCTTAACTCTCATTATTTCATCCAGATGCCAACTTTGGGAGAAGGAGCTTGAGATCAAGGAAATGAAAGAGCAGATGAAAGAACTCATTGGTCTATTGCGGCAGAGTGAAATTAGGAGAAAGGAAGTTGAGAAGGAGCTTAAGCAAGCTGTTTCAGTTGCATTGTCTTCCCCAGCTTCGGTAGGATCATACTCGCTTGTATTTTCTTTTGTCCCAAATCATAAATCAAGTGTTTTAGATCTTACTTTAAGGGAAGCATGCAAGGCTTTCAAATAATGCATTGTGAGTTTGCAATACATGGCTGATTGAGACTTTCTGTATGCTATCTGGTTATTTACTTCCAAACTTTAAGTGCTCATGTTCAGATCCTCGGCTGTCAAAGTTTTTTCTTTCTTTCTGTTACCATCCTGTAAAAGAACTCTATTTGGTGTTGTTTATGCATACTCTTTAACTGTCCTTGAGTAATACATCTGTCGACAAAATCAAAATGAATTTATTCTGATCTTAGTTTCCTTTTTAGGGCTGTTAGTGGTGTCTTGTATTTTTCATTTTCTTACACTGATGATGCTGTAATGTGAAACAGGGTAACTCTAACAAGCACTTTGTTGACGAAATGAGCGGTCCACCATCTCCAATCCCTGTACCAGCACAAAAGCAACTCAAATATTCAGCTGGCATTGCTAATGCGTCAGTCAGAGAGGCAGCAGCCTTTATGGATCAAACACGAAAGGTTGCTTTATTATTTTACTTTTTCTTCTTTGACTGTTTGACAGTTGCCTAACTCTAAGTCAGCATGATTAACAAAGAAATGGCTGATGATAATAAGCTCTAATGATGCAGATGGTACCGCTAGGCCAATTGACAATGAAGAAATTAACAGTAGCAGGACAAGGTGGGAAGTTGTGGAGGTGGAAGAGAAGTCATCATCAGTGGCTATTACAGTTCAAATGGAAGTGGCAAAAACCTTGGAAACTCTCTGAGTGGATTAGACACAGTGATGAAACAATCATGAGGTCACGACCTCGTACCCAGGCTCTGCCAGATATTATGTGCAGAAATGGTCGCTAGCTTATTCGTGGCAACTGTATATTCTATTCTGATCTCTTTCTCGAGCCCTTACACATGGTACAGGAAGAAACTGGAAATAAGTGCTGGTAAGTTGTATTTTTTTTAATTGTACTGTAAATTTCTTTCACTTCTTCAAGGGTTAATGCAGTTTTGAATACAGGTATTATATGTGCAGATTGCAGTTGAAGTGGTGGAGCCGTGAGGGGGAATTTGGTTTTAGGTGTTCTTACAGGAGTGGGTTTTAGTTGGGAATTGTTAGATTTTTGAATTTTTCAAACCGCAGCATCTTGTGAATATGTTGAAGCTACATAGGATTGCCTGAGTAATTGCAGAAGAATACTTAGAAGGTGGATGCTGAAGTCGCTAGTAGATTGATTATAGGACAAGGTCAAGATTTGTGTATACATTTTGGCAAATTACAATCAACTTGAAGGAATTCTTCCGTCTGGTCTCATAAGCAATGTCAAAAGATCCTTTGCCTTGAATTTTTTCTTTTTTTTGTGTCATTCTTGATAAATGTGTAATGTACATTGTGTGTAAACACAACATTGATTTTGTTTAAAGTAATGATAAATGCAGCATTTTCTGTAGTTGCTGAGCCTATTTCTTTTCGGTATCTCCATTGTGAATATACGTGTTGTAAAGAACACTTTGTTCTACAGGAGACGACATTTAACTCCACTTATATAGAGAGAATATATTCAGCTGCAGATAAATTTGTTTACCAGGGCTAAGCTAGCAAAACGAACTTGATATGTCTGTTCAACAGAGTTATTATTTTGGCAAGCACGAAAGAAATTTCCACCAATGTATGCATGTCAAGTTAATATTTTGATTTTTCTTTTGGTGGTGATATATTTTGGAACTCACCCGTCATGCTACAAGAACAGTAGCACCCTTATGGCCAGTTTCATAATCAATTGGTGCAAACAGTAATTGTGATGCTAATTCTCGGAAGGAAACCATGATTTACAAGTCACTATAGGGACATGCTTCAATTATTTCAAAACATCTTGAATAGTACAAAGTGCACAACATACTCCAAAAAACTGAATACATTTTCTATTGTCAATATCTATAGCCATATGACTTTCAGTGCGACCTATGCATTCATAACTCCAGCTACCAAATCGGCCATGTAGTGCTTACAACAACAAGCCTAGTGAGAACGTAAGCCTGGTCTGGAGCCAAGAGCAAATTATGTATACTAGAGAACCCACTGGCTAAAATGCATATCATGATTAGTAGTGACAGTAAGAATGCAGCACTAAGTCCAATAACTTGGCATGGGAATGTATTCCATTCAAGTTGAAAACTAACTCAATTTTTGCAACACCAGAATGAGTAGTGTTCATCTTTGCGATGGGTGCTAACCAGACCACCACATTGTAAGCAAACAAAGCTGCTTCCGTCAGAGAATGCATCAAACATTATCTGTTTTCTGCCAGTTTCAGATAGTATTGAAGTTCCATGAGAATCTACTTCAATTGGTTTATCCACTGTATTATGTTCAGAAGGTTGGGATATAGTAGGGATGGCCTCAGCAATGGCACACTCAGCAAACAAAGAAGCCAGCTCATCTGCAGCCACACTTGCCTGTACTTTATTTCTGTACAGCTCCTGGGCACGATTAAGGGCTAGAATTACGGCCAGCTCACCACCTTTGGTTCTCATGGCCGTCACCACCTGTTGCCTTATTTGATTAGTACGAGATTAACATGAACACAGGCAGAAAATGCAAAGTTTTCGTGATACAGATGTGCCACTAAATTCAAGAATAGATGGCACTTGAACTAGACACAATGCAATCGCATGTATGCTATTCTAAAATTTGCAACCCAGAGTTATGAGATCAATGCAACTGCTACAGGCACCATTGCATGAGATTAAGCTAACAGATATAAGATTACAAACCGAAGCTTCATTTCCCCTTCCCAGAAAAAAATTCCCCAAAAGAATAAAAGAGGACAAATTGAAGGAAAAATATAGCAACCGCATACAGCTCATCTACTGTTCCACCAAAGTACCAAATTCTTGGAAAATTTTCCGAGAACTGAATTTTAAAGGGTCTGTTTGGTTTTGTTTATTTAGCTGTTTTAACCAGAATTTCTCGTTATTCTTAGCCTGATTGGTGCTTCGTCGCTAAAATCCACAAGCAGTTATAAGTTATAACAGAATGCTAAATTGTTGAAAGGAGAAACCAAACTAGATCTGATTCCTGTAGGCATAAGATGACTGCTTTTACATATTTGGATGCATTTTACATAAGCAACTAATTATTCATAGCTAACACTTGACACAATGCTAAGTTGTTGAAAGGGGAAGCTAAAAGGACTAGATCTGTTTCCAGGATGGCTGTAGGTATAATCAGCATATACTGATTATAAGATGATTGCTACATATTTTCATGCTTTTTCAATCATAACTCATTAGCTATAGTTAACACGGTGCTAAATTGTTTTAAGGAGAAGCTAAAAGACAAAAGACTAGAACTGATTCCCGGAAGACAACAGGTATAATCAGCTAAAACTGACATAACATGATAACATTTTACATATTTGAATGCACTTTCCACAAGTAACTAATTATTTATAGAAGGAAAAGATACATTTTCTTGTCACTCATCTAATGACAATTTCTTCCGATAAAATAGTTAGAAATGTAATTTTACATTATACATGCCACTCAACTGATCCATAAAAACAATGGTGACAATACATGTCACTTATCAGGAAATTAGAAAATATAGAAAATCCATACAAGTTACAACTCATTAGAAATTTTAGATGAAACATATTTACATATAAAGTAGGCCTCAAAACACAAGGAGGTGCACAACTGAACCATATTTTACAATAACACCACTAGAAAAACTTTTTGTTTCTTTAACTTTAAGACACTGAAACAGAGAGTCTAATAGACTTTCTTATATATCCCAGAAAAGAGTATGGAGAGCAGGCCTATAAGGATATGAATCAAATGGGATCTCAGATCAGTTTTCTACCTTGGAAGCTTATCCGGAAATTCAAAATTCCTTAAAAAGTGGCTAATTTTCACTTGGCTGGTTGTGAAAGAAGCTGTTCTAATTTAGGAGAATCTCATGAAGAGGGGCATACATATGTGCCAAGATGCTATTTTCGTGACCAAAATGCCGAAACAATTAACCATTTGTTTCTTCAATGTAAAGTAGCTAGCTACAGAGGCATAAGGTGGACTGTGCCCTGAAAGAACAGAACAGGCTCTAATAAGCTGGAATACTGGGTGGTGGCAGAACAAACAAAGATAGATGGAGAATTGTCCCAGCAGTAATATGGTGGACCATCTGGAAGGAGAGAAACTCTAGGTGTTTTGAAGGCAACAGTAGATTAATACAAAAGAATAGGATATAGGGATAGTCTTTGATTTCACTCTTTGGGATGTAGTTTCAGTGCTGAATTTTTTTTGGATACCAGCCTTAGTGCTGCTGATTTATATACACAATCTGTTACCATGTCAAAAAAAAAGTATCGAGTGGAGGACATCCCAATGACAAACTTACAAAGTTACAATGCGGTAATAAAATGTTTAAAGATATCTTAACATGTTATCTACATATCTTTCCTCCACTAAACATATGTTCATCCTTCAATAAGTAATGGAATTGACAGGCAATGTCAAGTACCAATGATAGGGTATCTTACCATCGCACTACCTATATTGGAATACATTGACCACATTCACCACTGCCTATTTAATCATCTAAACTCATAGAAACTTATCCATGAAGTGACTATCTCATCTAGCAATCTATTTGCATTTATCGAAAGAGATGCTCTTAGCGCATCTTCACTGACATCATTACAGGATAGTGTATCTTAGATCCCACAATAGATAGGTGTAATTCTCTTCCATACATATTACGAAAATACTCTTGCAATATTAATACAACTTTTATAATGCCATTGGCTATGTGATCTATGGACGTCAGAATGTGTAGCCAAGAATTAGGATATAACCAGCATATATGCAAACCCAACACTTATGTAATTATGAACACAAGACATACATAAAACTCAAGGTAGAATTTTTTATCCAAAAAAAAAAAAAACGAAAAGAATTATCAGATGGACTCCTATACATATAATAATAAGATACAAGTCTCTTGCCAACAACTTGTGTAACATATAGAGAGTACAATTAACAAAAAATGGTCATATATGTAATGATGGAGCAAGTGTTGCACTTTGCCCCAGACAATAAATATGACCTCAATTCCAAACCCTTGAAAATAATCTGATACAATACCTTGAAAATGAATTGTCCTTTAAATCCAATTTATCACGGTGTACTTATCATCTGTCTGGTTTGGATTGTTTAAGTATCTGACATTATTTAGATTAGTGACTATTGAAGAATGATTAGGACTACATCAGCTTCCATACGACGATTGTTGATTATTAGCTAACAGATGAATTTGATGTTAAATAACATAATAACAATTGTAATCACAAAGTGAAACTAAATCTGGTAGAGATTTCCAAGTAAACAGGCCCTTGATCCTAGTGATATTCACAACCACAAAAAAACCAGCATTCAAATAAAACTCAGTCGTTCACTCAGTAGGTAAACAAGTAAGAGAACATTCATGTTCAGTTAAACGAAGAAGTCAAAATCAAATATTTTTATTCAGGAGAACGATGCTCTAAAGGTAGGGAGAAATGAGATTACCGCTTGAAGAGCTTGAGAAGGCTTGCCTTGATCGATAAGCTGGCGAGCCATAGTAAGCATCCCTCTAATAGCACCATCCTGGTCTGAACCTGAATGCAGTAGTGACGGTGACGGTACCGGTGGCGCCACCGCCGCCGTGGCCTCCGCCTCCATCATGTCAGCATCTGTACTGTCCATGGCATTTCAGTTACAGTTGCGATCTGTGACTTTCGTCGCCGGAGTTTTCCTATTTCTGACTCTTCTTCTACTGAAAAGGTTAGTATTTGATTGGAGATTTTAGGGAAAGATGAAGATAAAGAGAAATGGCGAAGAGACAACCAGATATTTCTAGCAGTTTCTGGAATATTTGGCCCTTCCCACCCTCAACATTCATTTTTCCTCTCTGCCTCTTCTATCATCGTCCAGTTCGGCCGATTGCTGGACATATTGGGCTTTTAGCACCATGGCCCAACATAAATACAGTCCAATAATGACCCGTTAATCCGAGTGCATAAAGAAGGCCCAATATGTCAGGAGTAGACGAGATGGGTTAAAATAGCCATTTTTAACCCCCTTTTATCAAATATTATTAACCACTATTTTAAAAGTTTTTATTAATACTTAGCCACTCTTTTATCGCCAACTAAACTATGGTAGGTGAAGGAATTTGAAGAAATGACAAGTCGAACCCAACAAATGATTCATGTAATTCAAAAAATTGTTGGAGTGTCAAAGCCAAAAAAAAAAACAATTAATAGGGTTCAAAATTTTGCTGAAGTTTCAAAATCAATCATATAAGTTTTTTCATGTTTTAAACAAGGATATTCTTGTCCGAATTTTATTTTGTTTTCAATAGAAGTGTAACAATTTTATGGCTAATGCCTAAAAGCACCTGAAAATTGGTCATCCCACCTAATTTGAGGATCATATTCCATTTCAATGAGTTTCAAAATTCTATCTTGGATTATAGTGACAAATAAAAGCCCCATACCCTAACATTAAGACACTTGATTTATTAAAGCTATAGGTTGCTTGCCTCTCTTCAAGGTCAAGTAGACAGAAAGAAATATATCTGTATGTGTATATTAATTTAAGGCCAACATGCTTGCTCTCTAATTACAATATTGAATTGATGTTATGATTGTTAACACTTTTTTGGAGAAAAAAAAAAGTTTGAAGTGGTTGCTAGATAGTTTTTGAATTATGATCGACCTTCAAGTCGCTGAAAGTCGATCATAATTCAAACAGCAGTGTCAGGATACTTACATTCGTTGACTCGCGATTTTTAGGAATTAACAATGAACGGTATTAGTCAAAGGACCTTGCTTCCAGTTTTTAGCAGATGGATGGTTGTATCTGGTGTTTGTGGTCCAATTTTTCTTTTTCTGTACAAATGGGTGGAATGACTCTGATTTCGACTGATGTTTCCTTGCAGGCATACATCAAAATCTATTCAAAGGTATAATAAACAAAGAAACTACAAGCACGTTAGTAATAATTTTGTGGCAAAGGGACCATTTGAAAGTGGATGGGTTTCTTTTCAATTGTTAGGTCAATTTTGTTATTTTTGTTTGGGTGGAGTAGGAAAATTTGAATTCGCACTTCGTAGGGTTCCATTCAGGAAAAACGCTTTTTATCAAAGATTTTTTTATACCCGAGGCCTCTGGTTAATAAAGGAGCAACCCCATTCTCTACACCATATATCCTCTAATGGTGGTTAGGTTAATTGTTGAAGCATATACCATGAGGTGTTTCTAGTATTACTATTTGTAATAAAGAACACAAATTCCCCAAACCTAAATTCAGTGTCATATTTATAAGGTGGAAATAATGGTTCAATACGAAATTAAAGCATCCAGCTATGCTATTAACTATAGTATTAATTTGTCCAATTAACTACCAACAAAATGTTACACCTACTCACCTCTATCAAAGCCACAAAATTATAGGGGCAAAAGTGAAAAATGTGTTCACCCTCCAACTATAATAACTACTCCATTTTTATGATTTCAACCTGCTAACACAAAAAGAAATCCAACATTCAAGTACTGAACTAAAAGTAGCTAGCCAGCCAACAGCTAACCAGATGGCAACATGTTTTTTCTTTCCTTGAATTTGAGTAGATGTATATTAAATACTGCATTTCTTTATTGTCTACCAAGATTCAATCTTACTTAAACATCTTGAAGAAGTCAAATTGAAATATGTTATTGAGAAAAAACACTGCCAACAACAAACATGTTGATCCCGAGACCAGATAAAGGAGGAGGGTTGTAGTAGGCTGACAACTAGCATAAAACATACCGATTTGTTTGGAAGTGAGACATAGTTATCCAATATAATAGGGTGAATGAGGGTCATGTAACAAAAGTATAAGTCTTTCCCCTTTTGTTCCTTTCTTTTGCAATTACTAATATTGAAAAGTCTCATGTAGTGAATATAATACAAATTCAATTTTATAATAACTAAGATTTAAATAAGAATTAGGATTTAGGAGGGCCAGTGAGAAGGTCCATTTCATTACTATCTTCCATTACAACAGCTTCTTTAATCTCTTGTATCATCTTTAACACTTGCCACATTGTTGGTCTTTGCTCTGGTGAGCTCACTCTACAAGCCATAGCAACTTCAAGAAGCATCTCCAACTTACTATCTTCTCCAATGCTACCATCATGATCCTCTCTAGTAGACTTCACCCAATGTAACATATCATCTGGCATTAGATATGGATGTTCTGAAGGATGCTTACCCGTTAGAAGTTCAAGCAAAAGAACACCAAACGAATAGACATCAGCCTTGGCACTAGCTTGGCGGTGGTGGTGGTGGTTGTTGTGATTCAGCTTCCGAATTTCTGGAGCCTGATAAGCTACAGAATCAGGATTGTCATCGTCTGAGGGGACAGCTAGGATGGAGAGACAGTAGTCGGTTATGCACGCCTCGAAATCGGAGCCGAGGAGGACGTTAGATGACTTGAGATTGCCATGGACAAGCCTCCATGCTTGGTGGATGTAGGAAAGTCCTTGAGTTACATCCTCTGCTATTTTCAGACATGAAGTCCAGTGAAGTGGCTTTGCTCTTGATGACTTGGAACCTGTACACGTGGCAGGTTGACCAGTCAAACTTTATTTCATATGCCACGTCAGATTGACCAAAAAATTCAGTATATGCAATAAAGCTATTATTTATATTACTTTATGAATTATTAATGCTAACCACCGTACTCTTATTAACTTCACGTTACGCAACCACACGTGAAACAATAACATTCTTAATGCAGACAGAACTAGCTTCAATAATAATACTATAATCTATGATTAGGACACTAAACAAATATAAAAGTATTTTACGATGACAGAAATATGTGTCCAAAAATGTCATCAGGGTCAGCTGCAAGATTCTCTGTGTTTGGGAGAACATTGGGGTTGAGAAACTGTAACAATAGGGTATGGTGTATGGACCCTATTTGATTGGACAACACCTTCAAAATACTCCGTTCATTTTATTATATTTTACTTCTCGTCAAAATAATTGCATTAATAATATTTTTCGTATAGTTTATGCGCATCTTAATAAATAATAAGTACAAGATATACGGAGAAGAACGTACCATGAATAAGAGAAGACAGGCTGCCATTGGGTTGATAATCATAAACCAAAAGCCTTTCTTGTCGGGCCTGAAAATAAGCCCGAAAAGGAACCAAATTCGGGTGCCTAAGCCCGCCCACTGATTCCATATGCTGCTCAAACTCTTCTTGACTTGTACCCGCCAATCTCCCACCGTCCAATCTCTTAACACATACAATCAGACGGTTATCAAGCACTGCTTTGTAAGTAGTCCCCATTGTTCCTCTACCTAAAAGCTCAGCAGAAGCTCTCATCAGCTGCTCCAGGGTATACACATGCACCTCACCTGCACAGAATACTAAGCTCCCACTTTTACCCATCACTTGCTGCATTCCTTGTTGTACTCTCTTCACCTTCTCTTCCAGTTCATTGTTGTCTTCTTCAATTCTTATTACTGCTTCTGCATTGCCGCTAACACTTGGATCGAATACGGATTTCTTAGTTTCTCCCAATTTCTTCGAGTTCCTGTGCTTCTTCGACGCTAATGCTAATAGTATGACTGAACATAAAAGGACTAAACAAGCTGTTGAAACTCCAATAATGAGTAAGGATCTTTTATGTGATTTGTTTTCTTTACGGTTTAACGGGCTACCCTGTCGTAACTCTTCGTTTTGGCCGAGTTCTGCCGGAGTTTTAGACGGCGGCGGCGTAATTTTAGTGGAGGCAGCGGTGGATGGACTGAAAAACGGTTGTATTGGACGGCATTCTTTGTGTACGATCTCACCACAAAGTCCTTTATTGTCTGAAAACGACGCCGTTTTAAACCGGGATAACGTTTTCGTTACCGGAATAGGACCAGAAAGGGCATTGTGAGAAATGTTGAAGATATGGAGGGTAGATTGGTTCAGCGGTGGGATTGATCCGTTTATCCGGTTCGAGTCAAGCCGGAGATAGTACAACCGGTTCAACCCGTTGATTGCAACGGGTATTGAACCGGTGAGATTATTATAGGAGAGATCAAGGGTTTTAAGCCTATGAAGAGTGAAAATGGAAGCTGGTATTGAACCGGTGAACAAATTATGGTCCAGGAAAAGAACTTTGAGATTAATAAGTGGAGAAAGGTCCGGAATCGGACCGGTAAGTGAGTTGTTCTGTAAACTCAATACTCTGAGTTGATCAAGCATAGACAATGTATTAGCTGGAAACGTACCTCGTAAGCTAAAACTTTCGATAACAATACGAATCACTTTCTTCTCCGAGCATTGTATCCCTTTCCATTTGCAGAATCTGGAACTTGTATTAGCAGAAAATGCAAGTTTGTTGTCCAAATCAGCTTTATATTTGAATGCTAACAATGCTGATGCATCAGAAGGAATCAACGAAACAGTGGAATGAAAAGAAACAGATAAAAACAGAAGAATGGTAAGTAGTAAGAATTGTTGTATTTTCATCTTGTTTAAGAAATTTTTTCCAGATTGAATTGTTGTGGAATATGTGTAGAGGTGGAAGAGTGAAGAGAGAAGCAGCTGTCTAAGAAGATATGGCAAAAGGCAGAGTCAGATTCACGTGAAGATTTTTGAGAAAGAAAAAAGAAAAGTGGGGACTTCCAATATTTAGTCTGGCTATTTTTCTCTCTGTTTCTGTGTCAGCCATGGCCATAATGTTTCACGGTCGAAAATAAGTTATTTTAGGATTAATTATTAATCTAAGTTATTCAATTACTATAATATAAATGATGAAATAGACAATTCAGTGACAACTTAATGTTTATAACCAAACACACGATAAAATAATATTGCATTTATGAACTACTCATGTTCAATAGTACCAGGCTTCTCACTAGGTCATTAC